TGTGATTTTTAAGAAGACTATAAACAAATTAATGTTGCTAATATTAGCTCCATTAGCCCTTGGTCTATCTTAGTTAATGATTAACTAGTTTAATTTTTGTGAGTTTTGTTCTCATATCTATTATTCATAAGTCTTGTACCTACGTTTGTTTTGTGGCTTTAATCACATCTGATTAGCTACCCTTGTGGATTATATGTCCATATCTGTTTTGCAGCTTTGGCCACATCTGGTTAGTTACTCTCATTGACTGTATGTTCATGTTTGTTTTTTGTTCTATTAAATCCTCCAAATTTTAAATTTTAATTAACTTGTGCATTTAAAATTTCAATGATTTTAATTAATAAGTGTACTATTTTTATTCATATATAAATAACTTGTCTCCTCAAGCACAATATAATAAAGAAATTTCAGTTCACTTTTGTTTTATGATTATGAATAAGATTTTCAAGATTTAGCATTTATTATATTGAATTATTCTCTTTTTAATTATTTTACATAATTGTTTGAATTTATTATTTTACTCTTCAAAATTATGTTTTGGGATCCTATTCACTAAAAAATATTTTGATCTCAGATTTATTAACTAACACTGAATCTCCTATAGATCATTAAAGGGTTTATCACTAGTTGGAAAATGGAGGAGCCATAGATTAAACTACCTTTTGATATAAAATTTGAATTATGAAATTATATTTTGAAAATTTAAATTCTAAATGCTCCACATAGATTATAGTTCGGGTTCTTATTTTGTTATATACTTTATCTGTTGATTGAAAGAAGCAAAGCTCTTGATTATTGTGATTTTCTATTTGAAGATTTTGTTATAGAATTTTCAAGAGGTCTTATTTATAAAGGAGGTTTTGCCAAAATTTTTACAAAAATATTAAGGTATTTGTTTGAAAAAAAAAACATTAAGGATGTCCTAAATCCAATACAAATATAATTATGATTTTAAAAATAAAAAAAATTATTGAACTAAGGCTTAAGGATATGTATTTGTGCACATACTTTGTGCTGGTCACTCATATTTCAGGATGTGATAGAATGCTTGAAAATGAGTAGGCAAAGAAATCGATATCAATCCAGCAAAGGAATTTTTTTAATAACCAAATTTCCTTTTGATATACATTCTTCCAAGCTTATCGATACAATGCTCCGACTCGAAGTATAAAAGAAACTCACCTCTTTAGATTATTCTTGCGAAGAAGAGTTGCAGGAAGTGTGGAGCAAGGTGTTCAAGTTGATTACTTTCCCTGCGCCAAATTTCACAATCTATAGGGTATAATCTCTTTTGCTCTGCCTTGTTTGTATTTTCGATTAGTGTATGAGTCTACTATCGCAGACATGTTTATGTTTATATGACTGCTTATTTGATATTTCGTCAATTCACGTGTTTTTTCAAAGTGGGATTTTGTTGTGTGCTTCTACAGATTCTGCTTTGCATTTTCCTTGTAAAATTCCTTAGTTGGTGGGCCGATCGCATTTAACAAACTATATCCTTTTACAAAGTTGCAAACCCTTCATTAGAACTCGAAAGAAAGAGGGAACCCACGGTGCTAAGAAATTTTCTACCCAGTTCATTTACTTACCCACGGCGTGAGAAAGCCATTACTGGTTCGAATGTGGAAGTTTAATCAAGCCTAAGAGAGTCGCTTCACTTCTGCATGAGAAAGCTTCCTAAAGGTTCCCTCTACAAATTGAAGTCTAATACAATAAGTTCACGAAAAGGATTCCCCGAAGTGAAAGGGAAAGAAGCCATTACTGGTTCGGGCCACATGTGGAGTCCTCTGGTCTGCCTCTGTTTCGATTTCTCTTTCTCAGCTTCTCATCCCAGTCCATCTCGCTCGCTCATGACTGCCAGCGTGGAGAGTTTCTCAGGATTCCATTAGTTAACGTTAGCAAGAGGTTGGAAAAGAAGTTGGAAAAGAATGACATTATTCACTTTTAACACTTTTAGGAAAAAAAATTCAAAAACGTAAGCATATTAACTTCTTCTTTGAGAAAACTTCTATTACATTTTTGCCTTTTAACTTGTAAAAGAATGTTATTTTTGAGAAAATATAAATTTAAATCTTTATATTTTGCTCAAATTTTGTTATAAATTTTTATATTTTTTTAAATATTCTATACCTCTATACTTTTATTTTTTGGTATTCTAAGTCCCTCAATGAGTGGTGTTATAAAAACCTACAACAAAAAAAAATTATATGGACCTAAAACATAAAAAAAAGTGTAGAGATTTATAACAAAATTCAAGCAAAGTGCAAGAATTTAAAGTTATATTTTTTTCATTATTTTTTATGAAATGTTATTTTTTTTTTTACCAAAAATATCCCCATGGTTGATAGGCATGATATTAATCTCTCAAAGAATATGAGTGCCACTCAAAGGGTTGTCCTCTTTCAAAGAAATGCTTTTCCATGCACGTTTCCAAAAATTGACCATGGAATGATATTTAAGAGGCTAAGATTGTCACACCTACTTTGTTATGAAATGTTATTTTAAATAGCTACTAGTCATTAATTATTAAACTATGTTAGTTCATGAAATAACATAAGGTTATGACTTTTAAGTCAAGAGCTTTATTACTTAAAAGATATTACTTATTATCTATAAATACTCCTCCCCATAACTTATATTTGTAACAATGTTTAAACTTAGCTCATTGCATTTATCTTTGGGTGTACTAGAGATAAAGTTAAATTATTACTTTGTAAACATTATTATTGTCTTAGCTTCTCATCGGGCGAGTGTAAGCTATACTTAAAGGTCTTAATTGTATCTTTAAAAAAATTTGTCAGCAACTCAATTTGTGCCCAAAGATTAGGATAAGTGGTGGGATCAAATTAAGCCTAACGGAAAGCTCCCTACACGGCCCGAAGACATGGACAACATTTTTCTTCATCTCTACATTTTATATTACTCTTCAAAGAACCATTTCGACTAACAATCTTTTAGGCTTAACCACACTGACTACAAATGTCTTTTTTTTTTTGGAAAGGGTTGACTACAAACTTTATGAAGTTGAAAAGAATTTAAGGAGGCAAATATTTGATATAGCACTAATTTTGTAGTTAGAAGGATTGGATGGATTCATCTAGCGCAAAAGGGACTTCTTAAATTCCTTGATCAATTGCAATGGAAGTAGAAAGTATCAGTTTGTCTCTATTAATTATGATCTATGGAATCATTTATGAAATGAGTAGTTATTTGTAAAATGATATGCTTCTATTACTAACTTTGACAATTTTCCTTAAAAATTGGACAAATAAATTTTAATAAAATAACAAATTCACTTAAGCTTTTGATAAATAAACTTTTGTTAATAAAAATAAGTAAACATTTATGAAAAAAATTATGCATATTAATTTTTTTAACAAGTCTTCATTACTAATTTAATAAGTAATCATTTGTAAAATGATAAGTTAAGTTTAGCTCCTGACAAGTAGTGATTTGGAAAGTAAAAATGAAATTGATAAATATATATAAAATTGTGTATTATAGGATTAAGGAGTATTAGCAGCTTCGTCGGTATGCTATCAATTCTTTTGGTGATCAAGAAGCATATAGCTTATATTATCCTTATACTTTGCAATCAAAATTTCTTTTTCTGTAAGTCCTTCCTTTCCTTGTCCAAGCTTACATAAATTATTTGAAAATTCCCACCCAAAAAAAAAATCCCAACAGTGCGGAGCAAGGTCATTTTGCTTTGCAACTCGGTCAAATTCTATTTGAAATCTAACACAGTTAAACACACCATATGTCCTATCTTAATTGGCATGATTTCGGTATCATATTGAACTGTAGCCATTGCTTTCATCAACGTTGACGAGTGTGTTTAATGCGCAATCAGTAAAACAAAGTGTTATTGTAACAGAAATCTACAAATTAAAAAGAATGTTATTTTTAAGTTATTTTACATTATGTAATCATTCATGAAACAATATAGGGTTATGATCTCTAAGTAAAAAGTTTTATTATTTAAAAGCAGTCATCATTTTATTATCTATAAATACTTTCCATTATGACTCACTTCTAATAATATCCACACTTGTTACCTTTGTATTTTAGTGAGTAAAGATACAGTCAAATTATCACTTTGAAAACATCATTATTGTCATTGTAAACATCGCTTCATTATCTATATTTACTTGTTAAAAAGCAATAATTCTAAAACTAAGTGGCCTACCATTGTCAAAATTAATTGGCAAAGCACCTACTTATAAAATGTCATAATCATCATTAAAAAAATCTAAATTAACTACTAGATAGTACCCACTACTAGAACACTATCATTTTAGAACTCATGGATGATGATATGTTTCATGAATTTCATGAAGTAGTAGCCACAATTATCCACACTCTTATTTGGTTGTAGTGGGACTGTAATTAAACCAACGATCAATCAAATGGTACACATACTAATTATTGAAGGTTGCTTGATTTAAAATTTGGCCATAGAGTGAATGCCTTTATTTTGCTCCATGCAATGTGATCATACGGTGTTGTAAACTTTCAGTGAGGGATAGGGCGGACTACATCCAGTGCGGTACATCACTACAGTTCTAACAAGGAAGTAAAGTATTGATATCAGAAATTATTTGAAAATTATATAATTAATATCACATAAAATCACAAAAATTTTTTAATTTTATCCCTAATAATGTCACGATTAATATCATAACAGTGGTAGATAAAACACACAAAACTCTCCTTCATTTTTTAAGATAACGACAAAATTGTTTAATTACTTAAAAATACAGTGACATCCCTTAGATTTAAAGAAATAAGCTTTTAAAAAATATCTTGTATATAAAAATAGAGGGAGTATTAAATAATATGACATTATTGCATCCAAACTAGGCTAAACTCAACACATTAATGATCAACTTAATTACTTAAGAAATTAAAACAAAATATTGAACTGTAAAGCAACACCGAGTAAAATATCTGCAAAATATAACCTGGATGACATACTGAAGCAATTTCTCTCAAACAACTTAGAAACCAGAACTCCAATTGATTATCACTTGTACCCAATTCCTGTCTTCTCCATGAAAGTCCTTAAAGTTTGTACTTGGTATTATCTCTGTGACTGGAAACTTTAAGGTTTCATTTGCAATCACATCATCAGCAGAGATTCGGTCATAATCATATAAACGTGCGGTAACTTTGAGAGATTTGTTCAGTGGAACAGCAATTACAGATCTCAACAACGGAATGTCATCCCCACGCCGTACTTCAACATAGTTTTCAGATGTTCTGTCAAACAACAAACACGTTGTCTCAGGATTTTCCCAATCCTCATAACAAGCAGAAACGTGCCCGTAAACGTTGTTTGTCGAATCAGCTCCTTCTTTAAGAGTAACAGTTACCTTAGCTGACACAGCATTTCGAAGAACAGCATAATTCACAGTTACCGAACCTATGTTGCTGTCTAGTTGTCGAGATATGAGCTCGTCATAGGCGTTGCCCGTGTTGGCTACGTCCCATGAGATATCTTGATTGATGATTTCATTGTCCCCTGAAATAATGTCCTTATCAGTGAGAATCAACTTGATGGTAAAGTTACCGAAGGCCGAGACAGATTCAAGCGGCCCACTTAGTGTAGCATTTTGACTTGCACTTATGGATTCATAGTTGTCTCTCGTGCGGTTGTAAATATATTGTGTATATAACCCATTGTTGGTTGTAATTGTTCCATATAGCTCCCAAGGATCTTCATTGTCTATGTTGTTTATTCTCACCGTGAACACCTCCAAAAGTGGTAATCCTAAAAAGGGCTGTCCTTCTTCATTATGGACGCTGAGTAGGGATCTTCTGAGGCCATTGACGCATCTTCTGGGTCCATTGAAGCGACGACCCAACAAGATACCTAGTACTTCTGCAGCTTCGGGGATAGTTCTTATCTCCTTGTTATCTGGTGGAATTCGTAAGTTATTCTCTCGAAGCTGAAAGCTTTTCTCTGGGTAAGCATCAGTGAGCAACAATGCTGCAGACAGAACGCGCCAGCTGTGAACTAAGTCCATAATCCAAGGTTCGATTAGGCTTTCGGTATCACGAGTAGTGCCGGGCCTGTTGTCGAAACTATAGGCCACATGGTTAGATACTGGAATGAGTCTGGTTGATTCACAAATCGTCATAATCACTATGATTAGACTGCGAGCCCTAGCCTTGTCGTTGGTCGTTACAGCAAGTTGATTTATAGCGAATAAGAGGTTGTGGACCCCAACTCTTATCTCTTCGATTCTCCGATGAGCAGATCTTGCAAGTTCATGGTAGCTACCCTTGAAGCCTATGAAGGTTGTTTGTGGTTCTGTAATTAGATACTGATTCTCATTGTTGTTGAACTCTAACCACTGTCCGTTTTCCATTTGGTAGCCAATCAAGTAGAGGTTGTCCAATCGAAATCTGAACCTCACGTGATGATCATTGGTCCGTAATACTAAATCGAAGAATAGAGCAGGTGGATTCTTTTCTTTTTTTTCTTTTTCTTCTTTTTTCTGTTGAACAGCAAGTACAGGACGATCGTGGGAAAATCTCACTTGTAGTTGTCTTCGCAGACTCTGAATGAAATCTTGATAATCCCCTCCATTGCTGGTCTCAACGTTGAACTCCAACGTAAATTTCACTGCCATTGTACGTATAATTTGCTGCAATTCATGATATGGCCAAAAGGAGAAGAAATAAATAGTATTTGACAAATATAGAACATGAGAAAGCAAGACAAAACTGTACAACAAAGAATACGAGAAAACAAGACATTGTACTACTTTTTCACAAAAATACAAGGTAAGCAAGCCACTTCACAGTTTGGTGGCCTCGATACTTGCTTAGTGGAATCTTGGGAGTTGATATCTGTGACGGTATTGGCGGGTATATGTAGACCGAGTAGATATGTGTGATGGGATTGGCGGGTATATGTAGACCGACTCTGCAAAACTAGGAAAACGATAGAAAGCAATATTAGATGATTTGGATCCGACGAGTGACACAAATTCATCAACTAGATGAGTGTTTTAATTATAACCATTAGATTTTATTAACAATTAAAAATTATCAAGATATATTTATCTATAAAAATTCAAAACAACTTTCACAATAAACATAAACTCCTCACTTATGTAATCTCCTCAAAAAATTTGAGATTTTATGCTTCTTAGATATCATATGACAAAATATTTAATAATGATTCGATTAAATTGAATAGTTATTATCATGTTATAAAGTGATGCATTTATTGAATGAATATATTTATGCAACTTAATTTCTAGATCCAAACCAACATTGGGTTGGATATGGCTTATTTACCGTCCGAAAACAATCAATATACACTTCAATGGAAAGAAAAATAAAAAACATTCAGTGTCATCAATTGCAAATGACATTCTTTTGTTCTTATAGGTTACCTTTTTTGTTTTTGTCCTTATTGGGTACTTTCTTGAAGTTTATACGGTAGAATATGATATTTGGTTAACCTTAAATATTTTGATGCCATGAACACATCTCTTTACCAGGACTTGAGATTTACAATTATGTCATAGCAAATAGCATATTAAAAGCTAACATTTTGAAATGGTGTCAAAGTAACAATAACTTCTTTACAAGTTACCAGCTATCATCCTTCCAATTTATGTTTAATGTTGTTAATTTCTACCGTAATAGATACTCTCTTTAATTTTATTTATAAGTCACTTCTAACATATGTTATCAAAATTAAAAAAAAAAACCCTTAAACCTCATTAAATTTCCCTTAAAATTTAATAGATTTTCACTTCTATCCTATAATAAAAAAAACTATTTTCTAATAATTTTTTCTAGCATTTAATAAGGAAAGAAAAAATGAACATAAAAATTAATAAAATATTTTATAAATAAGATTAAAATTAATTTTCTCTTTCAATCTTATAAATAAAATCAGAGAATTAAAAAGTAGCAATAACAACTATTACAGGAATGAGGGCCGAGAATTCCTAGCCCACCATGTACGTGAACAGGGAAAAAATGCACTATTCTATTTATTATTTTTTAAAAACTTCTGCACTGCATCAGACTAGTTCCTACTTCCTTGTCAAGTATTACTCCTCCCATCTCAATTTACAAGATATTTTTAAATAATATTACATATATTAATAAAATTTTTTAAATACAATGTACAAATTTATTTTTTTAAAACAATAAAAAATAAATTTCTAAAAACGTCTTTAATTTAATGCTTCATTTATGAAAAAAATATTAAAAAAAGAAACAAGCCTACTTTTCTAAAGAATATTAATTTAATCTAAAGACATCTTTAACTTTTAAAAATAATATTAAAAAAGTATTATTAATAAAAAAAATTTATCAAAATTTTTTATTTTTTAGAACAGGTTGGGAAAATGAGTCAAGCCTGACAAACAAGCCTATTTAAACTCGTTTAATATGAGGGTCAAGTTTGAAGTTTGTACCATTCAAGAGCAAATCAAGTTTCAAATAGTTGGCTCTAATTGGCTTGAAAATAAACAGGCCAAGAGTCAGCTTGTTTAAAAACCTGTTTATAATTTTTGAAAAAAAAATATATTTATAAAGACCAATTAGTGGATCACGCACTGAGTATGGTGTACTGACTCACTTATGCTTCGAACACAAGTGGACTCCGAGACCCAAGCCTCCAACTAAACTGAGTAAAAGGCAAACGCTAAATCCTCCATTACTCTATCTTTCATTCATCTTTGATTCGAACAAAGCTATGCTCCTCCTCTTCCTCTAGATCCAGTGTTCCTCAAACTCAATCATCACCTCACGATCTCTTCCTCTTGCAACCTCTCTCTCCGCTCTCCACAACTTCTCTCTCACCCCCCCCCCTCCCTCACTCTTTCTCAGCTTCTCTTTCCGGCTCAAGGCCTCATCCACAAGTGCTACCGTAAGCATCGTCAATTCATATTGTTCATCAACGACCAAACCAGAGTTGGATTGGGATGATGGCGATGGTGAAGAGGCCTAGGCTGCACATGGCGTGGCATCAGCTGAGGACTTCTCTGACGATGAGGGTGAAGAAGCAGAGGAGCGAGACGCCACCGAAGATAGTGGAACCAGAGGATGTAACGAAGGAGACCGACAAGTTATTCAAGGGATCATTATTTAGGAAAGTAGCACGCGTTCAGGATACGAACAACCCTGAGAAGAATCTCATACCCGATCCTATCCGCAACAATGCTTTCGCCTCTCCAGCTAAAATGGAAACCCTCAAATTTGTTGGAGTTGATCCTTCTCAAGTTCACTAATGGGTTTTGATATAGAAATCGTGAAGTCATATGTATGTACATATATAAAAAATCAAATGAAAAAAAAAAAACAAACAAACAAATCAACTAGCTTGAGAAAGTTTCTTCTCTCTGGCTTTTTCACTCATAGATAAAATAAGGTATGAATCCCAGCGCATATGTTCTGTTGTATCAAGGTTTTCACTTATGTTTCTTGGGCCATAAACACAAAGCAATGTAATTATACTGTTCCAAAGACCTTGTAACACACGCCTACACTTTTGTTAAGAGAAGCAAACTACCAAAGACTATGTTCCTCTTCATTGATTTAGATTCATGCCACAATTTCGAAGAAAGGTGGGATAAAGAATAAAATGTTATTTACAATACCGTTAAAGGAGAAGAGCAAGTTGAATGATTGCTATCATCTACTTTGTACTACAGGAGGAAATCCTAGCAACCAAATCGGCGTTAGAAAGACACTATGAGAGAGGGGGGGGGAGAGAAGTTGTGGAGAGGGGAGAGAGGAGTTGTGGGAGGAAGAAATCAAACTGAGCGTGAGGGCATTAGGGTAGGGAAGGAGTGAGAAAGGAGGGTAGGAGAGAGAGGGAGATTATAATGACAATGGTGAAAATTGCACATATGATCTTATCTTTTCAAAAGTAACAGACATTTATGCCAGCTTAACTGTAGAGGAAAATTTTTTTAAATTTCATTGTCCAGAGTTTAAAATATATCAAATATAAGTTTAGGATTTAAATTGTCCTTCAGCCTGTAATTTAGAATTTAAATTTTCATTTAACCCTTATTAGTATTAAATTAAATGTGTGATACTAGATTAATATAGTATGATATTTGAACTTTGATGGCAGTAAAATGTGTTCCTGAGACTCACAAAAGAATTAGAGCAAGGAATTGGCTTTGGCTAGGCATGTATTCATGGATTGATTTGCATTTGGCTTTGGTAGATAGATTGGGTGTTGTATTGCTAATCCTTTGCTTGCTTGCCGTCATTTCATTTTATTTGTGTTTGTTCTAGTCTATTCAGATGTTTACTTTGCTCATTTCATTTGCTAATACAGATGTGTCGTGTACTGTAGACATTACACTGATTTGAGAGAGACTTTGAGAGGAGCAAAGTATTCAAATTGATGGAAAAAAATTACAAATAGGTAAAAGGACACTAAGTCGACAAAGCCAGCCCTGATCCTAGGGGTAGATGTAGGCTAAGTTACAAGCTGGCTTGTTTCAGGCCAGACCAAATATATTAACTAAATAAGCAAGCTAGGTTTAGGCCTTAGATTAAGCCGCCTATTTAAATAGGCTATACTTATTTTTACAAGGCCTAACCCACAAACTTTATAGGCTACCCTATTTACTTTTTGTAATATTATATAATATATTATGTATATATAATAGGTAATGTCTAACATTTAATTTAGAAATTTGATATCACTACTACAAATTTAGCCATAAATGACACTTTATATTTGACTGTTACTTAAGGAACTATCAAATATACATAGGAGAAATTTCATATTTGACTGGCCCATCTATTAACTATCAAATATAAAAAACTACAAAGTCTTAGTTTGATGATTGTTTAAAAGAATTGTTAAACTTATGAAAATATTTTTTTTCAGAAGAAAATATGTTTTGCATATTTGACAGTCTTAGTGAACAATCGTCAAATATGATGCAATAATACAACTATCAAGTAGTGAAACTTAAAAAGTCCTCGCATACTTCATCTTCTTCGTTATGCCGTCAACAGTGTACTCTCCTCTCCACCCATTTTCTCCACAATTTCATCCAACTCACTCTCTTTTCAAGCTTTCAACTACAAAATCGGCCTTCCCTTATCATTTATTTGAGGTTTTGGCCTTCACCCACTCATTTTAGGATTCTATGTCGTCCTTGCTTGCTCTCTTCTGACTCTATGACTACGAGTGAGTGATTTTTCATTGTTCTTACATAGAGGTGTTGGAATTTATCATTTTTTTAGCATTCTTGACTTCCTAGATTGATTTATAGGTTCATTTATGCTCATTTTAGTTGTGAATCATGATATTTCTATTGGGTATCCATAGGCCAATGTGATTGGAACATTGTGGCTTGTTTTTCCTCGATTTTTAGTGACTAATTCTACCTACATTGCTTAAGAATTACTCACTGTTGATGGTTTTAATTTTTGATTGTGGAATTGCATTTTTTGAATTTTATGATGTGGAAATTGAATTTTTGAAGATGTTGCTTTACTTTTTTTTTTGGTTGATTACTATTCTATACAAATTAAATTTTTTAGTGTTAAATTTACCTACAATTGTGTGTTGAAAACATGAATTTACTTGCAATTTATTCTACCTTTGTGATTTTTGTGTTGAAATTTTCTACCT